GCAGGAGAAACCGGTCCGGACCCAGCTCGTTGCGATAGCCGAGAGACAAAAAGGAGAGAGACAAGAAAATTGAGGGCCGAAGCAAGAGAAGTCTCGCCGCCGCCAACTCGCCCGCCCGTTCACACTCCGCCGCCATCAATGCGGAGAGGAGCTAGTGGCCGGTTGGTGACGTGCGCGAAAGGGATGAGTCGAGAAGACGGTCCGAGACACCGAGAAAAGAACAATCGCATTTTTCGGTGGTCAATTCCAGCCTTGGGAGTGGGCAAAGTCGCACCTTGCCGAAGCCAGGTATTCTGGTGTATCCAGATTTATTAAATCATTGATGCAGATGCCGCTCCACCAGACGGCGAGTGAGTTGGACGCCGGGAAATGACTGTGATAAGGCGGGCATGCTGGGAAACCGAGATGGAAGGCTGCTGCGGCTCAACATCTTACCACTCGCCACCCATCATCTCAAGGCCGTGGCTGGTATGTTAAACGTGAAGAACTTGTGCCCGATCGTTGTCGTCGAGTCCTAACCTAGCGCCGATGACAAGCATCCGGCAGTCAGCACGCACTAAGATTTTGACTGGCGTCGACCTTCGCCGGCGGGCCCGCACCGCGCCGGGCTGGAAGCTCCCCACATTGATGAGCGATGAGTTTCCGCTGGAGAGACAGTCTGCAATGACGAGGCCGCGTTCTTGCATGCAACTGATCCCAGCGACGAGGGTTGAATAGATGCTGGAACCTGGGTTTGCCCTGTCCAGAAAATGTCAGACCAACGATCCTGCAATTTTGCAAGCAAGCACGGCAGCGCCAAGTTGGCAACGCTGATCTTTGCCCTCTACCACCGCATCGCCGTTTCTCGAACGACGCCCATGCCGCAACCCTACCGCGCGTACCAGCTCACCGGGAAGTCTGGACAATGGCAGACCGAGCTGGTGAGACTGCAAACGACGCGATGCCCCGCACCACAACACCATGTCGCGACACCGCGTGGTGCACTCGCGCCGTCCGAGGTAACGAGGTCAAAGACACGGGCAAACACGACCCGATCGGGAGAGCTGATCGGGCAAGAAGCGTGTTGCGGTCGCAGTCGGTTGTCGCAGTCGGCAGTGCGCCGTGTAGGGCAATAATTTCCACTCTGATCCAACCCAACGTTGCACGCCAGGATTCCGCGCAGAGCGCACCAACGCGTCGTTCAGCGCGTCTGCGGGGTTGTTGGATGAAGGCGGGATGAAGGACGGTGTGGCGCACCAACACACCGAACGGATCGAGCATTCGCACTGACAATGACGTGCCGCCCGCAGCACAGCCGTTGACGCGTCTTCAAAACAACCAGAAAGCTCGGAATAGATGCCAACATGCTCATCAAATGCCTGCCAGAAAACATGTAAAGTTAGAAGAGAAGGCCATTGTACAGAGGAGAGGACAAGAGAACGAAATACCGGGAATTCTGGCTTGTGTCTCGGGACCCGAGACATCCAGACCGGGTCAGAAATTGCCTCTCTCGGGACGAGAACGGTGAGCGAACCGGGATTTTCTGGCCCGCCCAGCGCTCGCCAGCTCCCGCCTGTCATCAAAGCCATTTGTTTCGTGTTTTCGCCATGCCAGGCCCTTGCAATCTTCAAATATTATGCCGATACTCTCGAAACAGAGCTTGGCCGGGGAAAGCAGATGAGCGCTGCGTGCTGGTGTGGTGGGCAGCGCATTGCCCAGAGTGAAATTTGGGGCGAGCTTGCATTGACAGCCCGGGAGGAAAGAGCAAGCGACCGGGACTGAGAGCACCTAGCTCCAGTTGCGGCAGACTGATGCAACCTACACTAGGAAATCGGTACAACACAATTCTCCAAGAAGCTGCAATTCTAGCGAGGAGAAGTGCGGATGATGTAGTTTTGGGTTTGGACACACCCAGATTGTTTGTTGCCCAGGAACAAACATTAGATGACATTCCACCCCGCATTTTTTTTCAGCTGCGCTCTGCCGACGCGGAAGCCTTCCGGAGGTCAGCCTAGGCCACCTGACGACCCCCCTGACGCCTGCTGCCCCAACCACCAACTCGGGACGGATCGTCATGAAATCGCAGGGCGGTGAGAATCTGGCTTAGCTTCTTGGGCGACATCAAGGCCGTCGTTCAACAGAAAAGAAACCGAGAGGACGATCTGAATGCATTGACATGACGGTCTCGCCAACCGTCCCACCAAAATGGATTATCTGAGCCAGTTCTACGAGCTTCTTGCCACACCAGATCGTCTCCTCCCACACCCATCTGGCTTTTTGGGCCAGCTCTCCTTCAGCCTCAAAGGCGCAGTTACAGTACTCCATGCAGCCATCTCTATTCCCACGGCCGGCTTTGGGTCGCAAAACAAAGGAGCGCCTTCAGAAGTCCCATATTACGGTCGCAGCCCGCCCGTTTACCCCTCGCGTAGGTCCACAAGAGCCTGATGTTTACCTGCCCCTGAATGCAACCCCGCTGACCAGCGATCCCATTTCGCGCCACCCCAACAGCAATTGCTAATGGCACCACCAGCGAGCAATGGGCTGCTGCGTATGAACATGCCCGGGCCCTGGTCGCCCAGATGACCATCGAGGAGATGGTCAACATCACTCACGGATGGCCTGGACCCTGTGTTGGCAACACGGGCGAGGTGTCCCGTCTCAACATCCCATCTCTTTGCTTCTACGATGGCCCTGATGGTCTTCGAGGGCAGGAGTTTGTTTCTGCTTTCCCTGCCGGTATCCACGTCGCTGCCACCTTCGACAAGGAACTCATGCACCGCTATGGCAGTGCGCTTGGAGATGAGTTCTATGGCAGGGGTGTCAACATTGCCCTAGGCCCAGTGGCCGGTCCACTGGGACGCATTGCACGAGGGGGGCGCAACTGGGAGGGCCTGAGCAACGACCCCTATCTCGCTGGCGTCGGCTTGGGTGCCATCACACGGGGCATCCAGGAGGCAGGCGTCATCGCAACGCCCAAGCACTGGTTGCTCAACGAGCAGGAGTTTCGCCGGCGGTGGTCATCCGAAGGGGATGCCATCAGCTCAAATGTTGATGACAGAGCCCTGCATGAGCTTTATGTCTTTCCCTTCATGGAAGCTCTCCGTGAGGGCGCTGGCGCTATCATGTGCAGCTACCAGCGGGCCAATCACTCCTACGCATGCCAAAACTCAAAGCTGCTGAACGGGATTCTCAAGACAGAGTTGGGCTTCGAGGGCTTCGTGGTCAGTGATTGGGATGGCCAGATGTCCGGCGTAGCGTCGGCCAATGCCGGCTTGGATCTCGTCATGCCGGGTGCTGGCTTCTGGGGAGCCAACCTCTCGCAGGCAGTCAACAATGGGTCAGTGACCGAGGAGCGCCTCACTGATATGGCTACACGCATTCTCGCGCCGTGGTTTTATCTTCATCAGGAGACTGGATATCCTGCCACTGCGATCTTTTTAAGCGATGAGAAGCACGATCCTGTCGATGTCCAGGCCGATCACGCCGATCTGATCAAGGAGATTGGAGCTGCCGGCACTGTTCTGGTCAAGAACGTGAATGGAACACTTCCGTTCAAGAGCCCTCGCTTCCTCTGCATCTATGGCTATGATGCAACGGTGAAAGCTGTGCCATGGACGAACCCTGACCGGTATGGAGGTGGCTACGAAGTCAACTGGGGATGGGAAATCTTGAATGGAACCCTCATCACCGCTGGTGGCTCAGGCAGCACAACGCCCCCGTATGTCATATCTCCATTCCAGGCGCTTCAGGAGCGGGTGTCAAAGGACAGAGGTGTGTTGCGGTGGGACTTCTACTCGGAAGACCCGGAGACTCCGTACGTCAACACAGAGGCATGCCTGGTCTTCATCAACGCATATGCTGGTGAGAGCTTCGACAGGACGACGCTCGCAGATGAGTTCAGCGACCGCCTCGTCCTCAATGTAGCAAAGAAGTGTGCCAACACTATTGTGGTCGTTCATTCTGCTGGTGAGTTCCCCTGAACTCTGTACGAACCCCCTTGGGCTGACCCAATGCCAGGTATCCGCACCGTCGACGCCTGGATCGACCATCCCAACGTCACCGCTGTCCTCTTTGCCGGCCTCCCTGGCCAAGAGAGCGGCCACAGCCTCGTCCCCGTCCTCTACGGCGAGATCAACCCCAGTGGCCGTCTCCCTTACACAGTCGCCAAGAAGGAGAGCGACTACGGCGACCTGCTGAACTCGACCATGTCATCTGGCTACTTCGCCGAGGATAACTTCACCGAGGGTCTGTACATCGACTACCGTGCCTTCGACAAGGACGGTATCGAACCCCGCTTCGAGTTCGGCTTTGGCCTGTCCTACACTAGCTTTTCTTACGACGGTCTCTCCGCCTCGTTGATGTCCACGAGCACGGGAGACCCTGGACTAGCAGAGTTTCCCAACCCAGACGTTCCCATCATCCAAGGTGGACACCCCGAGCTGTGGAATGTGGTAGCTGTGGTACACTGTACCGTCACCAACTCGGGCGACAGGGATGGAAGTGAAGTTGCCCAGCTGTACGTGGGTATCCCCAGTGAGGATGCCCAAGAGGATACACCGGTCCGACAGCTACGAGGCTTCAGTCGGGTTGGACCGCTTGCGCCGGGAGAAGCGCGGACAGTGGTATTTGAGCTGACGAGGAGAGACTTGAGCGTGTGGGATGTCGTGGCGCAGCAATGGCGGTTGCGGAGAGGGGAGTACAAGGTGTGGGTTGGGGCGAGCAGTAGAGACTTGAGGCTTGAGGGGACTCTGGTTATTTAGACTTGATAGGACATGGACGGGAAAGGCAGGTAGTAGAGATAGACATGGATAGACTCGTATTGCGAAATCCAAAGCAAGCATCACCACTCAACGCTCTGCATTGTTCATCCCCATCGTGTCCTGTTTATTCATTATTCGTAGTCGCAGTTATGCAGCCGAAAGAAAGACTGTCGAGGTTACATGTGCGCAAAAACACCATTAGCGCAAACCCAGCCATATCTGCTGTAGTGCCAACTAGAGGCCAAAAAAGAAAAAAGTTGCTGGGCGGGCTGGGATTCGAACCCAGGCCTCTCGCTAAACGCTGGAAAATCAACGCCTGCGTTGATAAGAACGCTCAGGAACACGCTAAACCACTACGCTACCCGCCCTGAGACTTCTGTTCGTTGGCTGGAGTTAATTTTCTGGTTAAGTAAGGGCTTGTCTAAGCTTGGTCCATGCGGGCTTGATAACGGGATGGCTCTTGCTGTCGAGCACTTCGCGCTCTTGTACCTATCCAGAATGGCCCTTGAACTACACAGACGTCACAGCCCTACGTTATGAAGGTAAGGGGTATAAGCTACAGAATACACAAGTCCCACCGTATCCAGGCCCGTTTATATCCAACCCCCTTTCCCCAGGAGCAACTTGAACGCTACGGGGAAGGAGACTCCGAACTCGCCGGCGGCACAACCTTCTTGGCCGAACACCCCGACACCGTCGGATCGTCCATCCACGAACACCACGATATCCAAACTTGCAGCGCCCCAATCGCCGTAGCAGCAACACCAAACAAGATAGCTACAAACAAGCCCACCGCAACCCACCAGGTCGTCCACCGAGGACTCTTGCGTTTCTCAGACCACTTCTCGATCCTCGTCATGGGCGTGGGGTTTTCAATCTCTTTGAATAGGACCTCTAGACGCTCGCCCCAGCGGGGGAACTTCTCGTAGAGGTCGCCGATGGTTTCGGGGTTCCGGGCGTCGCGGGGTGTTTCGTGTTGGAAGGAGTAGGTTGAGAATGGTTCCGAGAAGGCTGGGTCTAGCTTTGAGGCGGCGTCGAGCATGGGTTGGGAACCTTGGTCTATGCTGGAGAAGATGAAGCTGCATGTGGCGAGGGTTTCGATTAGGAGGTCGGGGGGGAGGCAGCCCCTGAATGGAGTGTGATTAAGTTAGCGTGTTACTGCTGGGGAGTGGTAGGTGGGCTACATACAGCGCCAGAGACTCTTCTGTTGTGTGGTTAAGTTCTACTTTGTCTTTTTGAAGTGCTTCTAGACACATTCGAAGGTAGCATGGGTATTTGAAGAGGTAAACAGTCTTCCAATCTGCGCCGACCCGGAGTTCCAAATGGTCTGTTAGTCGCTCTGTGTACTGAATAGTGACGCGGGTATCGCGTGCCAGGCAGTCAGCTGCGAGCTTTGAGACCGAGATAGGGGTGTGTCGTGTGTCGTCAGTCGGAGCTGACCACCTAGGATAGACGCGGTTGATGAATTCCTTTAACGTCTCTTCGGACTTCCAGCTCGGATTGAAGACATCGCCGCCGAAGCTCCCGGGGGTTCTGCATGCCGTCATGAGCATAACGCGCACGCTCAGGTCGAGTGCCGGTGAGGTCCTGTCTGAGTGAATGGAGAGAAGTGTTGCTTTGGAAAGATTGAAGTCCGTTTTCATCAGTCTGAAGATATATACTACATCTTCGTGTGAGTTGATGGGGGGTGGTGTGAGAATCGTGGATGCCAGTGTCTCCCGTTGGTAGTAGTCGAAATAGGGTGTCATGGACTCGACGCTGGAGGCCGAAGAAACTGCACCAAAAGTGTGTAGAATATCTTCTTTTGTTTCGTCGGTGAGATCCTTGCGGAAGTATGTGGCTAGTTCCATTGCCATTGCCGTGTGCGCGGCTTTTTGTGGCCGGCCCAATGCGTAGCTAAGGTACCAATGTGTTTGATGCCCGCCTGCCCTTCGCCCTGCCCAGCGCAAGGCTCCACGACTTTGAGGGCAAAGAACTGAAACGGTTGACTGCCTATTTCAGAGTAAAGATGGAAAAGGTCTTTGAACGAATATGATAATGGCGAGACCTTCCAGATGCTTTTCGGAGGTTGCTCTGCCTCAATGAGATTCTTTGGTAAAGAAGACAACCTGCTGCGATTTGGCGCTGGGCCGTGGAAGTGGAAGTGTGATGCTGCTGCGGCAGATGGCCGAGACGGGATGAGGGGGGTGCAGGGGCTCGAGCAAAAGTGGGAAGGCGCGATGCACGGGGAAGCCACGAAGTTCAGCTGAAGAGGGCCGAGCCAGTGGCAGGCCCAGTTTCAGGCCCGCCACCAATTCGGGGCGGCAATTTTTTGAGACGCGATGATGTGGGATGGTGCCCCCCCTCGTCCGCTCTCGTCGCGACCATCTCCATCTCATCTCAGCATCGCGGCGATTGAAGCGGTGGTCGAGATGTCAAGGTCGATCTGCTACGGCTCCGACCGTCATGGCCACGCTTTTCCGCTCGAATAAGAAGAAAACAAAGCAGTCGGCTCAGACGCCAACCCTTGTTCTGTCGGGCGCTATCGAAGAAAACGTCCCTCGACCTGAGGACCTCAATGACCTGGAGCACCAGGTCGAACGGCAGAACCAAGTCCATCGCGAACCACAGGACAAGGCCAATAAGGGGAAGCACCGTCGCTCCAGGTGGTCGAGGCCGTGGCACCGCAGTCCCGATGTTCAGGCACCTCAAACGACAGTTCTCTCGCCTCTTCCCAATGGCAGTGCCGTCCAGCCCAGGTTCTCAACAGCAGCCGACTCCGGTGTCGACGCGGGAACAGCGACACCTGTCACCACATCTGTGTCCGCGGCGTCGCGTGAGACCCGAAGATCAGCGCTAGGCAGACTCAGGCAGCAACCAAGCTCGACAGCCGGAGAAGGCTCCGCCTCTCAGACCCAGGCCCAACCCACTCAGCTGGCACCCGCAAGCGGCATTCCTGTTGAGGTCCGGCTGCGTGCGCTGGAGCGGCTACAGAAGCTTGAGCTGGCCTCATCTCTGGGGCTCAGGGCGGACCGCATGGCAGACTTCACCGACGCTGAGCGACTAAAGCTCACCCAGTTTCAGAACGAGTTCAACAGCGTCCGCATAGATTGGTTTCGTGGACGGCCCATGCCCAACGTTCGCTTCGAGCTTGTCGTCTTGACGAAGGATGGCGCAGCACCATCTGGCACCCGCGAAGGCACCAGCATCTGCATTCGAGGCTTGCAGACTGACGACGAAATCAAAGAGTTCCACCGCGTCATGTCGCGGGACTTTGTTCGACGCCTGTACAGGCCAATGCGCCTCACTTACGACACGAGTCTTATCCGGGCGGCAGCAAGGGAAATCGACGAAACCTATGACTATCAACAAAGCTCGTTCAGGGACACGCTATGTGGAACGACCATTCATACCGCAGTGGAAGGCACTGATGGGGTCGTGTCCACAATTGGGGGTATTATCGCAGCTGGGGGCCGTCTCTTCGCCGTTACTACATCCCATCGACCCAAACAAGAACCTCTCGTAGGAGCCACCAGCCCTGCCAGCACATTTGGGGCAAGCACGCTGGTTGAAGGAGAGTACGATCAGGATGTCGAATCCCCACTCATTCTAGACACCGCAAAGATAGAGCCCAAGATTGAGCCCCCATCGGAAAGACAGCCTGTCCCCACCTACTTTTGGCCCCGTCTCAGCATTGATCCCACGCAGAGGGGACTTGAAGGGGACGACTGGCGGCTGCTCCCAATTTCTGGGGAGCATTGCTTCCCAAATTACCTGGCATCAAGGGGTCGATTGATAGGACCACAAGGCAGAGGAACCTACATTACCGACTACATGAGGACACCATCAAAGACTAAGGTCCATGTTCTCGGCGGTCTTACCGGGATTTCCACAGGGACGCTTTTGGCCAGTCCGTCCTATCTTTCCATTCACGGAAGTCCCGCTGAAGAGGTATGGACTATCATATTTGACCGTCCTCTTCTGAAGGAAGGCGACTCGGGTTCCTGGGTCGTTGACAGCAGCGGTGTGCTGGTGGGCATGGTGAGGGCGTTGTCAGGTGATGAGGCGTACCTTGTGCCATTCTGTCTCCAGAAGCAGGATATTGTATCCCAGGTGCCCGAACTCGAGGATGTCACACTTCCATCTCCACTCCAGTGTTGGCTGGAAGTCGCCTCAGCCACGCGTGGAGATCCAGCCGCCAGGACGCATAACGAGGCTGCTGAGAAAGCACTTTCGCTCAAGGTCCTGACAGCGTCGGAAAAGAGCGATTCTCTGGCACGGACGCTGCAGAGTGCGCGTATACAAATCGGAGCTTCTCCTGTGGAAATGATGCAGTTGGAGGATCTCCTTTCCAGGGAGGGCAACAAACTCCGAGACTCACTTTCTCGCACTAGTGCTAGCGATACTGGATACATATCCGACGTGCACCGTCGCCTAAGGAGGATCCATCAATCTCTCAACCCCTCTTTGTTTCCTGGTGAAGTAGAGCAATCTTCGCTCCGAGGAAGCGAGGACTCGGAAGCTGCCCGACAGTCGACAGAGCTCAGTGGGGCAGGGCGGCGGGATACACTATCATTAGCTGATGGTAAGTCTTGTTTTCACGTGCTTCAAGTTGTGTCATCCATCCTTTGGGTTTGTGTACTGACTTTACCGATGTCTAGAAGCCAACCACCCAGCTGACACCGACACCAAAGAGCCACATTTCAGCACCTCTAATTTCTTGATATCCATCCTGTCGCTGGGTGTGCTGAGTGCTGCCGCCGGCATAGCATCCGCAGCTGTCCTGGAGGCTGTCACTGGCCTCGAGGTCATGGTAGGCAGCGGCAGATCTGCTATTTCAGGTGCCGCTGTCGGAGCTACCTTGGCTGCTCCCACCGCGCTCGTGGAGCTGATTCTCCTTCCCGCTTGGCCGATGGGCCTGATGAACCCGATGGACCCAGAGTCTACTCTTCAACGGAGCTCAAGCTCCAGATCCCCAACACCTCGCCCGTTTGACTTTCGGTGGTGGCTGGGACTTTTCGTTAGCTTTGCCATTGTGTTTTTGCGGCCTTTTTTCGCGGTCGAGATCGCCTCTTATGTCACAGAATCAGAGCTCATGAGTAAGTGTTCCACCTCTCTACCATGGCTTCATTCAGTCGTAAACCGGCGCTGATCGTCCCCAACAGGTACCAATAGGAGCGTACTGCGAATTGCGGCCACGGCCGCTGCAGCCCCGCTCTTTGGCGACAGCCTCGTCAACAACCTCGCGAGACATTCCCACGTTCTCGATGGCTACAACTTCAAGTCGAAGCGGCCGCGAGCTTTGACCACATGGGCATATGCATTCACGCTGTGGCTGTACATCACAGGCTGGGACGCGCTTGCCGGGTATACATTTGCCAGGGTGGCA